CCCTTAAAAGGAGATGCTCCTTGTTGGTATGAGTACTACTATTAATCCATTTAAATTAATTCTCAAGTGTCACACACACACATGTAATGTATATGTGTGTAGAAAGGTCATGAGATGCCTAAATCAGAAAATGTATAGTAATGTGCAATTATATTTTCAACAGAAATTATATAGACTAAAACCAATTCTACGAAACAACATTCAATGTGTACATTTGTCATACACCCCCAATTTGAGTTTTGTCCAGTAAAGGACATAGCTGAAAAGTTTAACAAAGTAAACACTAGCAATAAAAACTAATACACAAAGTGAATATCAAAACAATCTTCAATGCTTCACCCCCTACTCCACCAACTCTTATAAGAGTAGTTCTAGCTTCTAATGCAATTGGCTTCTTTTAAATCACTGGACAACTTCATTTCATGTTACTAAGCCCCTGCATTATACAATGAAATACATAATAAAAAAGTTATCCAATCAACCTAATACATTCCTAGCTTGATGAATAAATCAAAATGACATGCCCTGTTTTTCAATTTAAAAACAACTGAAAAAGCTAATTTCAATGGCCGAATATTGCTCCCTACTCAAAGGATCATCCGACACATAAAACATCTCAATTACTACTAACATGTATTAGTAATTAATATTGCAACTTCACTTACAATAAGTTGAGTCCATATGTGAGTGAGTCGTTCTTATTTTCAATGGTGGGATATTGGTCCCTTGTCAAAGGATCACCTGACTTGGAAAACTAAGTAAATGTTGAGTAAGGGCCTATATGTTCATGTTTACTTTTGACTTAATGGACTTAATAGAAACTGTGACTTATCCATTCGGCTATATGTTCATGTTTACTTAGGACTTAATATAAAATGTGACTTATTCATTCAGCTCGTTTTTAGTTGTCCTTACTGTACAGACATCCATTTATCCGGAGTTTCCCTTTTGACCCTGGCTTCTCCGCACTCACTCCTGACATTAATAGCCGACGGATTCAGCACCTAACACATCCTCTGCGCAAGTGCACGCTGCAACGGCGATGGAGCAACCCAACGACGGACGGACGGACGGCGAGTCAGCGACCACCCCTTCGGCCCTATTTCCGATTGCCGACTTAATCTTTGGTGCTCTCATCTCCATCTTGCAGGTAAGCGGCTCTGCAGCTTAATCTAACTTTTCTTTTCATTTATAAATTCTTTTTTTTTGCAATTCTATTCTCATAGTCTCATTGAAAGTGTTAATTGTCTCATAAGATGGGTGGTGGCCCGCCGTAGCTGAGAATATGCCAAGATGGCCGAAGATTTCTTGAAGAAACATTGATTCTGTAATTTATTACTCTCTTGTATTAATCAACTGATATTTAATCAACTGCAAGATAGGTTGTTTGGTTGTAATTTGCAAAGAACAAAACACAAATTACAACATTGTAGTTCATAGGAAGAAATAGTTTGCTACAACATAGTAGATCATCATTGTATAAAGACTGATTAAAAATCTAACTATAAATTTAAACTTTTAAACACTCGTGTTAAGAATAGCATAAATGGTAGTCATTCACTAATTTCAGAATCTAAATAAAGCTATAAGAGAGAAAATTAATAGACAGTACCCACTTCATTGCTTCTCTCTCTCTCCGTATTACATTTTAGCTTGGTATCAGAGCAGCAACATTTATATATTTTTTTCCTTTCATATCCAAGTATCCAACCCATATTTTTATCACGACTCTCTTTCAACACTAAAACATACACATTCTAATTTCTACTTATCTTTCCCATGACGAATCCCAACGAAACCTCCACCATGACAATCCAGCCATCCATTGATGTCGGCCGCCGCAAAGTGAATGATCCTTCTTCTCCATATTCTCTCCAACTCAGATATTCCCGGAATCAACATCTGTGGAATTACACTTCGGAGAGAATCCAACTATCGCGAATGGGCAATGATTACGAAAAATGCCTTTCGTGCCAAACGGAAGCTTCTATTTCTTGACGGCGCCATCTCTCAACCGATGACCAACGCCGCTGATCTTGATGATTGGTATAGTGTGAACTCAATGCTAGTTGGATGGCTCATGTCATCAATTGACCCAATGTTACGCTCCAATGTTCCGTATATGGACAGTGTGCACAATCTTCGGGATGATTTAAAGGTCCATTTTGATGTAGCAGATGCTATGTGCATGCATGAACTTAAAGAATCCATTCGCACTTGTAGACAAACCCGCAAGCCGGTCACTATCTTCTTTGGCTATCTCAAATCTTTATGGGATGATTATGACACTTACCATTTTTCTCCTTAATGCAATTGTGGCGGTTGTTCATGCAACCTCAACAAAGAGTGTTTCAAAGTATGGAAATTGAAAAAACACATGAATTTCTCAAGGGTCTCGATGGTTGTGTATGGTACTCTACGATCTAATATCCTTAGCATGACAACATTGCCGCCACTCAACAAAGTTTACCAAATGATCATTCAGGAAGAGCGTCGTCAAAATGTCACCCGCACTCAAGAACATCATGGTGATTTGCAAACAAATGTGGCCAATTATCTGGAGTAAGAAATATTATTTTTCAACTATTGTAACAAAGAAAAATTATTTTGCAACTATTGTAAGAAACATAATCATGATATCAAACACTGTTTCAAATTATCATGAAATTATCTGGAGTGGTGGTTTGCAAACAAATGTGGCTGAGGGCGTGGACATATCACGAGTGCTGGGAGGGGCAAGGGGGTCTCTCTTTCACTACCCATGTTGTACACATTAAAGATGCTTTCACTGCCCATGTTTTACACATTAAAGATGGGCCTACTACAGTCTCATCTTCCAACTCTCTTCGTGCATCTTTGCACATGCTCCCTGATGAGCAATGGAGCACTTTCATGAGCATGCTCAATGGTGGATAAAATCCATCTAAAAGTAATAAAAATCCACGTACAGAATTTTTCATTGATCGGATACTTGACACCGGTGCATCCTTTCATATGACGAGTTCTAAAAATGTATTGACTGACCTTTCTCCTATGCTACCCATTCCGGTTACTTTACCTAATGGGGACGTCACTATGGCCGCACATGTGGGTTGTCTTAACTTGGACAAACTTTCACTCTTCTGCATGTGCTCTATGTCTCTGGTCTTGCATGTCATTTAGTATCGGTGGGACGTCTATTGATGATTTACGCTGCCATGTTACTTTCACCAATAAGTTTTGTGTGATACAGGATCTCATTTTGAGGACACAGATTGGAGTGGGTGAACGGTGTGGCGGGGTCTACTATCTGATTTGTCTGGGTGAGATTTGTGCTAATCGGGCAACTAGTGTGGACCTATTTGATTTATGGCATCGATGGCTTGGGTGTGCTTCTTCTAAAATTGTTCGTTTGCTTCCGGTCTTTCCTAATAATAAAATAAGCACCTCCCTCTCAAATAAATTGTGTGATGCATGCATGCATGCAAAACATACTCGGGATGTTTTCCCTCTTAGTGTGAATCGTGCAGTGACATGTTTTGAATTAATACATTGTGATATTTGGTGTCCATATCGTGTACCTTCATCTTGTGGTTCTAATTATTTTTTAACTATTGTGGATGATTTTTCTCAGACTGTCCGGGTACATTTATTCAATACAAAAAGTGAGGTCCCCTCAACTACTCAAAAACCTAAGCCATGACAAGTTGCTCTATCTGCAGAGAAACTCGTAAATCTCCATGTTGGATCTCCCTCTGCTAATTTGATATGGCAGTCAATATAATTCGTCGTCCATGCCTCAATCGGTATACGTACATCCTCACGCCACCATAAGCTCAAACCCCCACTGAGCCCCTGAGTGTTGACAGAGAAACCTTGTTCAAAATCTAGTTGTTGTCCTTCTAAGTTGCATGTGCCCGTCATACTGTACTCATTTTAGCATAACACAAAAATTTCATGTTAGTAATTAGCACACAATACTAAAATAATTAACCCATGATATTTAATAAACTCATTCCTACCAATATAATCAAGTAATACTTAAGTATAACATAAAACTCATTTGTATCAACATTCGCACATGTAACATATTTATTACAAATCAAATTAATATAATTAGTTTCATATAGTTAAGCACATTTTATATAATTGCATCAATGCACATTTATTTTAAACAATAAATTCATAAATATTTAGAAGAAGATTGGAGAAAGGTAAATGTTTTATTAATGTCATTATGTTTTAGCAGTTGGCAGGTAAATAGAAAAAGAAGCTAGTAGAAAATATAAATAATAAAAAAGAAAAAAAAAACTGAAGCAGCAGCCTAAAACGGAGAAGTGTATAACACATGAGGATCGAGGAATGTAATACAAACTGGGAAATGAAAAAAGAAACAAAAGAAAATGAAACAAAAGAAGCATCACATAAAGTTTAAAAGACAAAAGAGGCAGCAACTACCCTGATTAAGATCCTTAGTTTTGCAAATAATTACAAAAACACAGGCCGGATGTACCATCCACGTGGTACACCCGGTGAACCTAGTTCGTCAGTCCTGACCTGGTCAGAACGAGGTCCGGTATTATTTGGAATCACCACGTGACCGATTTTTTGTCCTTGTGTAGGAACCCCGCCTCAGTCTACTTAATCAATCGGTTCTGGTATGTTTTTTGGGGAACCCAAATCGGCCGGTCTCATGTTGTGTTTAGTCTCCAACGACTGAAAATTTTGAAGAGAAAATAGACAGACTCTACCCATGACCGTATCAACTAGTCTACCCGACTCAGCCTGAGACCACCTTCTAGCAGACCTGTCCCAAGCCTCCCTTTCCTTCGGCAAGAACCAGCCGACCTCATCTCGAAACCGGGACCGAACCAGATCCATGCCTACTTGGTTACCGTTACACTCTTGCATACTAATATATATCCACTTTAGTATTTCTCCCTTTCTTCTAAGGGTTCTCCCTTTCTTCTAAGGGCGAGGCAGTCTCTCTATTTTGTAACAAAGATTAATTAGTCAACTAATTAATTTTTCATACACGTAACAAAGATTAATTAATCAATTACATACATAAAGTAATTTCATAACAAAGGTTGAATTGGCATTTCTGGAAAAACAATCAATACAATTAATGTCAACAAGGTGATTGAGCTGCCAAAGAAAGGAATTAAAATTGATGAAACAGCAGACTACACTAACAACGATTATCTTGAATTAATCAATAAATTACGAAAGACAACAAGAAAAACCAGGGAAATGCATGAAACTAGCGATATGGAGCGTCAGCGCCGACATGATGATGATGCATGTAGTGTCCATCCATGTAAAGAGCGGCAGCCGCGGCGGTCTGTGGATGGAGACCATCCGCCATCACCATGAACTGCATGTCCTCAGATGGCTTCCAGTGTCTTTTCCTTTGGTTGATAAACCAGTTGTTTATCTGCTTCTGGTCGAGACCGGTTGCCTCGGCCAGCGCCACCTTCTCTGTCTCCGAGGGGTACGGCCATTTATAGTGGAGCTCCCACCAACTAAGCAACTTCTGCCTTGCTTCTTTGGGCAACTTCCCTTTCTTCTTCTTCTTTGACAATTCTTGCTTCAGGCTGCTTAAATAGCCGCTGTATTTCCTCAGCAAGTGGTTCTTCAGTTCCCGGTCTTGCGCCCGCGGGTCGATCTCTCGGAGCTCCGTTTCCCCTCCGCTGTTGTCTTGGTCCTCCTCGGATGACCCAACCCCCTCCCACTTCTCGTCTCCATCTATATACAAGTCATAGGAATGAAGTGTTATTGTGAGAAACAGAAAATTTTTCACCTTTTGAGTCTTTGCCATGCACTCTCGATCATACTCAACTGATCTATGTTTACATTATGGGGAAAACGTTCAAGAGCACACAATTCACTCGGCCATTCATCACTTCTTTAGTCTTTTTAACTCTTTTGCAAGTGTTACATCTCAAATTCAATGCAACAAATTCATTTTCATTTCAAATTCCGCATTGATCCTAGGAAAGTAATCTTAGGGGGCGAAAATATTTTTTGGGAGGTTTAAAATATTTTTTGGAAGGAAGAAAATTATTTTTCATATATATATACACTAAAAAAAATTCTTGTTGGGGAACGATAGACCCCCTGGGTCTGTACTACGGTCCGCCCCTGCCTAGGTACTACGGAGTATGTAATTTGTAGTTATGCTAATTGGTTTTGAATGTCTTATACTAACTAAAGTAATTGTCCCATATAGGACTAAAAGAGAATACAAATTCTCAAATAGGACTATGTATGTTTTTTCCCCCAAATAGGATCGATTTACTCCTATTTTAAAACATCCGTATATTTCATTCCATTATTACCCTTTATCCCTTTTTCCCCATATATGTCATTTCTCGTTAGCCCATTTTACTCACCATGTTTCTACCGTTATCCCAGTACGCACTAATAATTATTCTTATTTTATTCACATTTTATTGATTTAATATGAATTAAACAATTCTACTTTTTTAATAATTGAGTAACTCTCATGTCTCAATCTTAGGATAACGGAGGTAGTAACTTTTTACAAAATCGTTTACTTATTTCTTTGCTCATTCGACAACTAATACTTGTTCATTCAAATGATTTGGAACTATATACAACATTACTAATCATAGATTTATACCAAGAATTGAAAAATAATTTGTTCCTTATTTGATGTGAATGTAACTACTCATTCACAAAAAAAAAATGGCACCCCATCCCCCTGAGGACCCCTACCGGACAGTACGTTGGGAGGATGTAAATTGGATTACAATCCCAATCTGACAGATACAGAGTGAAGCTCTGTCCCCGGTACTTGCAGAGGCTCTATGCATTTTTAGCATAGTAATCACTCATCGCAGTTGCCGGGATTCGAATCTGGGACCTAACCCTTGTGGCACTCCCTTGCTCCGAACTACGCTCACCTGTAACTACTCTAAAGTGTTTACACTTTAAAGTGTTTTGGTGTCTATCCCAATGTAACGTGGCCCGCTTAGTATCACAATACACAATAGCCGTACAAGCACCTATCACATTTCCACAAGCATGACTACAGCCCCGACTGCATCTAACTAAATAAATATAAAAGCATGACTTCTCCATAATGTTTGGTGAACATTAATTTTATTTAATATTTTAATCCAAAATATACTAACTTTTCTCCGTTTGGACCCGGTTGATTATCTTTTCTTTTCTGCTTCAAAAAGTGCGCCACATTGCTTATTTTATTTTCCCTTTTCTGCTGATAAAAAAATGTAACATTTCCTTATTGGACAAGATATGATAGGTAATTAATATCATTTCACACTATACACTACAACACTAACCACAAATTTTAATTTGAAATTACTCTTTAATAATTGTGCAAACCAACAAGACACATTTGTATTTTATTTCAACCATCCGTCCCTAAAAAAACTTTTATAGTATAAATGAAAAGGAGATTTAACATAGTGGATATTGTGTGATGGAGAGTTATGCATAGGGAACAAATATGTAAAAAGTATGTTAATAACAAATTCTTTATCAAAAAAAGAAAGTGAAAGTTTAATTGGGAAAGATGAAAAAGAAGATAAAGAGATTTGAAAGTCTATTATGTGACAGAGGGATATTATTTCTTTTTTTAGGCCATCTCCATCCATAGGATTATTTGAGTATTAAGCTGATGATGTGGCGGATTATTTTGAGATATTGATTGAATGATTAAGATTATTTGGTGAGATTATTTGACAAAATAATCCTGGATTTAAATATGAATCCTGATTATCTCAATATTTTTGTGCAGCTAGTATTAATTGGTGAGTGAATGACCCACAAAAGATCTAATTATTTTGAAATGAAGAATGATGTAATTTAGAAAGTGTGAGATTATTTTGAAAAAATCTATAACGAATTGGTAAGTATTTTCTTAAATCGCTAACGGCTGGAAAATTCTACGAAGTGGAAATAATTAGAAACTGACAGTGGGTACAGGCTACATTGGAAAAGGGATTGATATGGACAAGAATTGACAGGAATCAACAGACTAATACAAACCCCATCTGAAAACACTATTTATGTACACCAGCTTTATGTGTCAACAATCTACATTAATAAATCAAAAATGATGTTTATAGACACTCTTATAGACACTTTTATACACACTTATATATGTGAAAGCTTTTTTTTTGTTCGTGAACATCGATTCACAGACAATGTTTTGCACAAACAAAATATTCACAGATCAAAAAAAACCTTCAAACATGGTGTGTATAAGGTGTGTACAAGGGTGTTTAAATCAAGAATGGTCGTAAATAAACGTTGTTGATGATGAATCAATTAATCAGAAATGTACGTATTTCTTTTTCCTTTGTTTAATCTTTTTGAATAAACCAAAAATGATATATTCGCCTTTATTGCTTTATTTCCCGATTTATATTCATTATTTTAATAAAAAGGATGTGTAATTATTAATTAATAATTGAGCAAGTTCAATTATTTGATGGATGGAACAATAATTTCATCACATCCAACTGTTTCAATCAAATTCAATCTTGCACTTTCTTGTCAATAAGTTGGATTGTACTTCGGTTCGTAGAATGTCAAATGAATCACTTTCTCCAATATAAACTAATGTAATAATAACATCTCCACATCTGTTTGTTTTCCTTGTACTAGCTTTGAATATGGACTAAGCAATTAAGGGTTTATATCACAATAAGCGAATTATTTTTATTTTTATTTCAAGTATTGAGCAACCCATACTTCATACGGTTTACAAAGGTAATCACATTTGAAAAAAAAAGTTATACAAATAATCCCTATTTGCTAACTTTTACACAAACAAATTATCACTTGACCCCGATTTGAGAATTTTTTAACAAATAAATTGTAACTTAGCGATATTAAATTTCCATTATACTTCATATCTGTGAAATCGCTAATACATTTATGTTTCTTTGCATTAGGAACATGACCCGTGGCGGTGCCAGAAAAGCGGCCTAGGGAGTTAAAATCAGTTACATACAAAATGAAAATGGTAGATCATTTTTGGACAATGTTTAAGTTGAATGTTTCATATGTAGTTTACATAAATAGACATTCATAGCAATAATATAGAGTGTCTTTGCTCTGTTTAGTCATTTCACGTAAGTAATGACTTAATTACGCATTTGAGAAAATAAACCATATTACACATCAAATTTGGCTAATTTTGAGTTTAGATGGTGCTGATTTCGGGAAGTCGCAGCTCTGTACTCGTAATGAGTTACGAAGGTCATAATATATCAAATCGAAACAATGAACACGTTAACCCGATGAATTGAACAGGTGACCTCTCGATAACTATTCCTAACTACACCACCAACTCATCAAGTCTCACTTCATTTCACTCAATGTGCTATATACATGCGCTACAAGATTGGATCATGAGTTAATTCATTTATTTCTTTCACCAAACACAAATGAATTGAAATAGACGGGAGTAGATGAGAATTTGTACCAGAATTGAATTACCAAATGAGGGGGGTATTGAGGAGAATCGGAATGTTGTTTTGGGTCAAAGGCCCAAATTTATCTTGAAAATGGAAACAGAAAAGAGGATGGGACGTATTAGCATAGAACGAATAGTCGTTTACACTGTACAAGAAAGTTGAAATCACTCAGTCCTGCAGATTTCAATGATATGATACCTATCTCTTACGTACTCTAATTTGGGACATGAAACATCAACACCCACTTTATTCGTCCCCACACACTTTATTTTATTTTTATTTTAGTATTTTAACTGTCCCATAAATCTGTCCTTAAATTTACCCGATCTTGCTTCCTGCTAGTAATAAATCCATTCTATATTCGATTACTATCGCTCAATCTTCCCAAAATAAGGTTATCTTTTATTATTCTCACACTTTGGCATAATTCAACTGGTAACGAGGGAATGTCACAAAGGTTAGGTACCGGATTCGAATCCCGTCAACTGCGATAAGAGGTTACTATGCTAAAAATGCATAGTAGGGATCTGCAAGTACCGAGGACAGAGTTTCACTCTCTATCTGTCAGATTGTGATTATAGTCCAATTTACATCCTCCCAACGTATCATCTTGTCGTGGTTGGGAGCGCTGAAGGATGGGATGTCATCCTTTTTTTATTCTTTCTCACAGGCAACTTGTTTTCATTTCAATCTTACCCGCAAAATAATGTTCTTTTATTCAAGTTTGATTTAACAATTCAAGTTTAAATAAAAAAAAATAGTATAAACACCAATTTAAATGTAATAATACAAAAATACTCCGATCTAAACAAAATCGGAAGCTATTAATTGGAAGAGAAAGTACTCCGTAATATTTATTACCTTCTTTAATTTGGTGTCTCGATACGTTGTATGATTATCACTGTTTTTTCAAGCATAGAGTTGTTCCCACTATTTCTATATTTTTCTTCTTTTTTGCTACATATACGGATTACGGAATAACTATCTAACTACACCCTTGCTAGTATTTATATGGTTCTTGTGTGAATTAAACTCGGTAGACCAATTTCATGAGTAGGGATATCGAGTACTGTATTTATTATACTTGAAATTAATTTTCATAATGCATAATATTATAGTTCAATTTGATTTCTATAATGCAATATTATTTTAAAAAATTGTCCTAGGTAGTAGGACTCTAATATTGATAAAATGCACAAATTAGACTTACTACTTTGTATATTTTATTCCTAAAATATGACTTATTTGATATGTAAACTTCCCAATTTAGGAGAGAATGTCTCTTGTTTTAGGAAAAAAATAGGTTATTATTATTTGTGCATCTAATTTATGTTTTTGTCCCATTTATGAACTTTTTTCTTTTTTTGCTGCACTTTATTGCATAATACGAAGCATAGATAAAATCTGTTTCATAATCCAAATAGTAATTTGTAAAAATAGCAGATTATAGCAAATGTGACCATGTACGTAGTAGTATTTAAAAGCAATACTTTTTTTTAATTGTAACTTCTGAGATCAAACATATTTTAAAATGATTTATTAGTTTTCACTTGTTGAATTGTACCAAGTTAAATCATCAGAGCACAAGATACTTGGACAAATTGTAATTGACTTAAATCACCAAATGTATCATGAGAAAACAGACCGAAATGGACAAAAAAGGAGACATAACAACCGAAACTGAATAAATAGATATTATAGTATACGAGTCCAAGGAATTAAAACAATGTATTACTTGTATAAGTTTCTATAATCCAAAATTATAGTTAAAATTTAAGAACCCGTCTAATAATAGGAACTCTATTTAAACAATTGGATCAACTCAATCTAATGAATTATGAAAAGATTCTATTCAAAATATATTTTACTTCCTCGACCAAAATGCTTGTTTTGATTACTTCTATTCAAGTAATAAACAATATGATGCTCCTATTTTTGAATTTCAAAGCATTTTTACAACTATTTAGAGCAATTTCTATTTTGATTACTCCTTATTACATAAAATTAGATTCTAAATTTTTTTGTACTCCTAGCAACAAGGACTCAAGGAGCAGTAAGAGATAAAATCGTGAAGAAGTGAAAAACTAAACAACTAACTTTTTATTTTTAAGCTGAATTGTGTAATAATAAGAAAAAGTAAAGTTGGAGTTATTTTTTCGATTGTATTGAATGAAGTTACTGTAGATGACCATGTTAGCTATTTTTTCATATAACTTTTTCGTTATTTTATTAATAAAATAAATTTTAAATATAATTTTTTCATAAATCAGTCAATACAGTCAATTCAACCAGAACTTTAGAAATTTCAGCTGAATCAACCGATTCTAGTGTTACCAAACGGACTCTATATAGACAATGAATTAGTTTTAACAATGTTTTCATAATAAGAGTGGTATCGATCCTTCATTGATTTGAAAATATGATCAACATAAGTTAAGTGAGTAGTCCAAAATTCAGACCCAAATTATAACCCGAGTAAAAAAAACGGAAGTTTATAATGTTTCAAAGGTGAAAGATTGGAATTTTTTGTCGAGAGCCAAAATATGTGAATGTCAAGGCCATAATCTGATCTACAAACTCATATACGATAGTATTACACATATAGTGATAAAGTTAAAGTCGACTAACCAAAAACAAAGTTAATTTTTAGTTCTTAATTAACCTAAGACTCGACGTTTCCATCATCCTAAGATTTAATTTGAACATGGGTAATTTGATGTCTCTTTATATCAACTACTCCCTACGTTTCTGAAACAAGTTCCACATTTGACTTCATACATATTAAGAAAATAAATTTGCTGTGGAGTGCACTGTTTGGCAATGTTTGAACACTGTTTGGCATTGTTTGAACACTGTTTGACACTGTTTTGATGTAGATAATTTGACAAATAAGAAAATGTTTGAAAGTGGAACTTAATTTTGAATCTGCCCGAAAAGGAAAAGGTGGAACTTTTTCAGAAACGGAGGGAGTATGTAGTAGTCGATTGTGACAAACTAAGACTCGGCGTTACATTAAGCAAGGAACACTGCGTAAAAAATTTTAGGTAGATTATACTCGTATGATACTTATAAGGTACCATACTTTCATCCATATGCACTTGAATTATATAATCTAAATTAAAAATGATATAAGGATTTGGATCAATTAAATGAATGATAGGTACGATATCTCATTTTTTAAATGGTTACCCAAAAAGTCATTTAAGAGAGAAATTAAGAGGTTACCGGAGTTGAAAATCCTGACCGGACCATCACATAAAACGTTAAGCTGCGATTCAATCCGTCGCATGAACTCCATTGCTTCTTGGAAAGGCCTCGCCAGCTCCTCCCCACACTTCACCAGCATTTCACAGTAAGCACCCTGTACCATCAAACTTGTTTGGTGATTCGATTTTTCAACTTGTCACGAAACTTTTTCATAACCTTTCACGAAACTTTTTTATAACCTGCAATTAACTTCCCACTTTTCTATTTCGGATGTCCCAGAAAGTTAATCTATATAAAAACAATGTCGAACTTTGTAAAACAGTGTCAAACAGTGTCGGAATAGTGCAAAACAGTGTCAAACAGTGTAACAGTAAATTTTACACCATGATAAGTTTATTTGCTTAGTATGTGTGTAGATCAAACTGTGAAGTTCAATATGGAACGGAGGGAGTATATTTTTTTCATAAATGAACTGAACAACCACTTCATCGTTCATAATTTAGTAAATTTCAGCAAAATCAATCAATAAAGCAGATTTAGCTGATTCTATACGTGCTCTTAATGTGAAACCGATTTATTTCCAAGAGTGGGAGTGAAAAAAAATATTGAAGCAAACCTCACCATGAATTCGTCGAGTTCGGGGTCCTTGGAGAAATCTATAGAACCAAACGAAGCTCGCTGCTTCCCCTCCGCCTCTTGCCGGACCGTCGTCAGGCGCGCTACCACTTCCGGCGGAGCACCGACCTTCACATTCCACCATATCATTCACATAAAAAACAATATAACTAAACAATAAAAGAAAGTACCCTCAAATCATCTCTATAAGAATATCGTTAAGTGAACTTATTCTACCTTTTGACAATCGATATACGCTTCCAGGAGGTTAGAATAGTTGGGATGCGCCACGATCTTTGCCTTCAAAGCATCGCCGTCACCGATTGAGTTTCCGGTCGCCGGCGGCCCTTGCTGCTGATGATGATACTCATGATCTCGGGCTATCAAAGGGTACTGAAACATCTGGTGGTGGTGGTGAAGAGAAGCGTTTTCTCCTTCGCTCTTAACCTGAGGAGAATGCCCTTCCGATTGGCTGTAGCACTCGCCGCCGCCGCCGCCGGACTGCAGGTGAAACCCGGTGGATATGTGGTTGCTTTCCGCGGCGCCGGAAGGTCTCCCGTAACTTCCGAGAACCGATCCGCCGCCGCCGTACATGAAGTTGCTATGGCCGTTACCCCTTTGCCTCGCAGTCACGACCACGCTTTCCTCACCCAGCTGATTGTAGCTCTCCATTTCCTTCTTTCCGGCTAAGTCACCGGAAACCCAAACGACGCCTGAATCAAGAACCGGCCTGGGTGTGTAAAAACTTATTTACAGAAGAAGATTGGGAACTGCCATTAGTTATGTCCGATCGTCTTTTTTCTGGGTCTTGAGTTGATGTTGATTCATTGGAGTAAGTTTATGAGCATACTGCTTATTTTGATTGACTGGAACTTGAACGGTGATGAGAAGGAAGAAGTTTTGGTCGGAGGAAATCGGCGGTTGCTGGCCGCGCCGGAGTCGGTTATTGGTGCTCAACTACAAAACGTTTTGTGCAGTTGAGAGCATTAATAAATTAATTGGAAAATTTCTTGACGAATTATATAGACCTTATTACACATGAGGGTATATATACCATGTACATCAAAATTAACTTCCCATTTCGGATTACGATACTTTCGATGATGAAGCAATTTGATCCATGTTCATACTCAAATTACTTTTAGTAAATAAAATTTACATATTGACAAACTACATTAAAACCGCTACAAAGACTGATAAAAAATATAAATTTGATAAAAATCTGATATATAAAACATAAGATTAAGAGTAATTTACGTTGAACATGCGAATAGTGACTCATGGAGTATATGGCCCAGAAACCCCCGGTCCATAGACTCCTACTATTCTAATGGAGGCCCAATAGGCCCAGGAAGCACAGCCGGCCCAAATCACAGCGCCCCAAGTACTAAGCAACCCATGTGGCGCACTAGGGGTGCCTTCGCCCCCCTGGCCGAAGGCTCCAATTCTCACAGGATGGCCAAATCGGGAAAACAGAGTTACTCGGAGAAAACGGCGAAAAACAGAGTTATAGGAAAATTTATATCATTCAAACAATTAGTTTTACATTTCTTCAAAACAAAGAAAAACAAACTTTTTTAAAAGAAAACCATATATATTTATTATCATTAGTTTCAGGACAGTTACATTAATAAAAGAAAAATCATATGTAGTATCTGACACCAACTAACCTCCACCCCTGAAAGAGTAACACGGATCGCTGTTGGGAATCATTTTATTTTGTTCAATTGCATTAGTTATCGTTGTATTTGTGTATTGAATTTAGTTATTGGGCCATGCATGTATTTATTTAGCCCATTTAGTATTTATTTTGTATTTGTTTAATTGATAATGGGAAAATGGTATGTCACTTTCCTATATGTTGGCTCACATATCACATGTACTCTGTTGGGATATAAACACATATGAGCATGTATAGGGGTGGGCAAAAATACCGAAAAATCGGTATACCGCACTTACCGTACTGAAAAATAGCGAAAAATACCGGAATATTGGTATACCGTCATTTTCGGTACGGTATCATACCGTACCGATTTCTTTCGGTATGGTAACGGTAAATGTTTTCAAATACCGCGGTATACCGGTATAATACCGTACCGACTCCCTACCCAACAATTATTACTTTTAATTCTAGAGTATTGTAAAACTCTTTTACAATTATGATGCCCAAAATCAATACTTACATTGGTTACAAATCTCCAATGACTAATTAGTAATGTACTAATGTCTAAAAACAAGTTCATCTTGTTCCAAGAACTTGCGAGTTGCGATGACTGAGTGGCTGAGTAGCTGATGAGTGGAGAGGGGTACACTTATGTGACAGGTGTATCTACATAGGGATTCCACGAGTCGAGGCACACAACTTTGTCCAAAAGTCTTATTCATTTTTTTAAAAAATATATAAAAATGACTAAATGCACAATATCATACTACCGCCATCCCAAAATGATTAGCCAAATCCAAAACTTTGATGATTAATATATATTTATTGGAAATTATTTATAATATAAAAATTATATGAAATTGTTCTTTATTAAAAGGACTTTCATAAAAGTATAAAATTTATAACTTTCATAATATTATACTAATCAAAACCATGGTTCAAATTTTGAGATTTGGCTAAACATTTTGGGACAGAGGTAGTATTAGGAATAAATAATTTTATATCCATGTTGTTTGAATAATTTTATTTATTATTGTTAGATATCACTATTGATTTAATTATATCTATATCGTTCAAGTTATTTTAGGAGAATGTGTTGTTTTTTAATGCATGACATGTTGAACTGCTTAAATATACTAATAATAATTATTGTTCAATATTGAGTATGACATCAATAGATTATTAATTATATTTGTAAAATTTTAATAATGAAATAAATATGTCACTAGTAACACCGATTTAGCATATTTCGTTAGTCTATGATAATTTGTTGTATTGGGAGACATGCATGGTAATTTACCGATACCGTACCGTTACCGAACCGAAACTTCGGTATACCGAAATGCGGTATACCGAAACTTCGGTAAGGTAACGGTATATAAATTTTGCATACCGAAAGTTTTGGTACGGTAAAGATATGAGAGAAAATATTCGGTATACCGTACCGAACCACCCCTAAGCATGTATTCCAAAGTGATTGAGCCCATTAGGGAGTTTGGCTAAACTGTATTATCACATCAATACGATGTAGAGAAAATGGAGAGCGGGAAGTTTCACATCCCCTATACTTCATCGACATATCTTTCAGGGTATTGAAACCAAAGATTCAATCTTCTCTATTCTTATTATATACTATCACGAAATGGGGACTTTCAATCGCTAACCACGAAATGAGCTTGACACAATTATCACTCGTCTTATAGATCTGTGTAATTCTAACGACATGAGAATATGCTAAATTTCCTATCATTGGGCAAAGCTAACAACATATGTTTCAAGAAGAATCTAAACAACAAATTAACAATAACTAATAGGATAATTTTCTTGAACCCTAGCACATCGTTCAACCCATTGTGGTGGTTCAGGAGGAGGTCAGACCATGAATATCGTTGTGATTGATCCTCCATCATCGGCTAATGTAAATTTTCTTGCACTTAAAAATATATGTAAAAAGTACAGGGTTTAAGTACAAGTATCGTCTCCGAAGGGACGGAAAAAGAGAATTAAGTGTTGAAGTAATGAATAAATTAATAATTGTGATATGCAAGATTATATTTTATTTTTAGAATTGAAATATCAAATAAAATAAATCTCGTTAAAGGCTCTTTAAAATTAATGACAAAAAGAGAACTTGGATTGATTCTGAGCGCAACCAGATTTCGAGAATGATCATACTTAAACACATGAACATTATTTAATTGAGTGCATGTCAATACTAAGTTCTCGCTTCGTAGAGTACAATAATTTAGAAAACCAGGTTGATCTCTAATACGACAAGTTTCTAAACTATTGTCATAGTAAATCTCCCAAACCATGCTATTCTCTTAGCGAGCGAATGTGTGTGTGTGAAGGTGTCCTAGAAACATTCATATCTCTCTTAAATTCTTCTACGTTCAATTATAATCCTAGTGATCATTTCAGATTACAAAAGATATCAGTTATATTATTCACTCAAAAATTGAATGATAATCATGCGATTAAGGCATTTAGAACAAAACTCTAGACCGTGATTAACACTCCTTTATCTACCTCAAATCCTCAATTAAAACTATTCACAATTCATATATAATTGAATAATCAACATAATTGAGAAGTAAGGAAGGGATCGGTCTGGTATGGGTCAATTTTTTTGTTGTTGCTAAACCCGAATATTACTCGTAAGGGGTCAGGTTATGAAAATTAAGGACCAAAACAAAGCCTGTTATATTTGATCAAGATGGGTTTTTTGGAGCCTAGGTTCGGTCCAATTCAGGTTGAGCCGGTTAAATCCCGAACATGAAATCATCTCATTTTCCTTTTATATTGTAAAACCTATTTTCAAATAAATTTAATCAAAAATACAATCCGGAAGTACTGAATGTGGATATTATGTCATGAGATTCATGTGGGAAATAATATCATACTCTAAAACTCATGATATTGGACATGTAGGAATAAATTGTGAGTTTGGAAAGTTATTTATTACATATACATTGTATTGTAATTAAGTTTGAATATATCTGTTATCATTTCAATAAACATTTCAGGTATGGCTTTCAAAAAGTGAACCATATACATTAGTAGAGTTCAATGATATCATAAATGTATGGTCAAGATACTTTCTTGATGTAGTATTCCAATTGATAGATTGAATTTTCAAGTGGCGCTCCACAGTTAGATTTTTTTCATTATTGTTGTTAAAATTTAATTATGAACTCCCTTGTCTCGTTTTGCACACCTTTGTGTATGCCATTTCCTTGAAATAAAATCCACCCATATATGTTGTGACAAAAAAAAAAGTTTAATTAAACACATACTTGATTATGCATTATGCGCTTGATACATGATACATTACTGTTTTTGTTGGATACATTTGATTGTATGGAGTTAATTTTACGTATTATAACGAAGGGAATCTAGCTGAATTTTTAATATGAATGCTTTTAATTAAATAAAATTTCAGAGGCGCGCTTCAACCAATAAAGCGCCTCTAGAAATAGCCGTTAATTTGAAATTTATAGCCATTTTTTGTAACCCAAAAAGTCATTTAGATGTGCTTTCTTTTAGAGAAAGCACGTTGCGCCTCTAAAAACATGTTGCGGCACTATTCATTATAGGGCCATAAAGCGCCGCATGTGTAAAAAAGCGCCTCTAAACGGTGCTTTTGCACCAGTAGTTGCAGCACATCATGCGGGTTTGTTGACTCTCTCACATCTCAACTAGATTGACGAAAGTAGATTTGGTGATGAGTAAATATCATCAAGGCGAGGTATCCAAAACATTGTTACAACTCTTTCACTTTTCAAAGTATGGTATCTCATGATCTTCTTGCTACCATTATTAATATCTTCGAAGAGGAGTATAGTGAGAAACTGAGAATTCTTCTACTATTCAAGTGTATTAACGAAAAGTTATGTTCCAAGAGTTTTTATTTGATACATTTTGAATGAATAAGATCCCCATCACAAGGCGGTTAAGGTGACTTATAACACTCTTTTGGTGATTGCAATACACACAGTTTTGCTCGCTCCTCGGGTGACAGTTTTAAATATTTTTATGCAACGACAGTGGTGTCCCTTATAACAACTTGAACTAGGAAGACTATGCTCAAGGGATTAGGCACCTAAAGTGTTTTTTTACTGAAATTTGTTGGTCTGGTCTAGTCTGGTCTGATCTGGTTTGAACTAATCTGGTCTGGTAAAATATGTTTAAATCCTCATTGTAGATGAGAGTCCATTGTAGTTGTTTCATGTCCTTGTAGGAGACCTGCAATGAATTATGAGTATCCTTTTATGGCCAAAACCTTATTTTATCCTAAATCAAAACGTCACACGAATGTGGTCTTCACGGCCGTAGATGAGGCTGTGCAAGTTGGGCTACTGCATAGGGCCTCCAAAAAAAGCAGGCCCATTTTTTTAAAAAATTAATAGT